GATGACGACGATGACGACGATGACGACGGCGATGACGACGATGACGACGGCGATGACGACGACGATGACGACGATGACGACGATGACGACGGCGATGACGACGATGACGACGGCGATGACGACGATGACGACGGCGATGACGACGACGATGACGACGATGACGACGATGACGACGATGACGACGGCGATGACGACGATGACGACGGCGATGACGACGATGACAACGATGACGACGATGACGACGACGACGACGATGACGACGACGACCCTCGCGGCAGCAGAGTGTCGCTTTGACGACGTCGTCGTCACTAGAGTCGTGGGGTGACACCCCGCACCCACTCGCTCCCAGTCACCTCGCTACGGACGGGCAGGCAGGCAGGCGAGTGAGTGAGTGAGTGAGCGAGCGAGCGAGCGGATGATTGGATGGACGAGCGGGCGGGTGGGCGGGTGGGTGGGTAGATGAGTGGGCGGGCGGGTGGGTGGACGGATGGGTGGGTAGATGAGTGGGTGGGTGGGTGGGTAGATGAGTGGGCGGGTGGGTGGGTAGATGAGTGGGCGGGCGGGTGGGTGGACGGATGGGTGGGTAGATGAGTGGGTGGGCGGGTGGGTGGTTGGATGGATAGATGAGTGGGCGAGCGGGTGGGCGGGTGGGTGGGTAGATGAGTGGGTGGGTGGATAGATGAGTGGGCGAGCGCGTTGTTCAGCCTTCGTCCGCTCTCTCAAAGCCTCACCACCTCTTCTCCATCACCGATTCCTCTATCCCTCCCCTCCCCCGTAGCCCGTTCGTGATCCCCGACGCGCACTATCGCGGTCACTCATTCCTCTACGCTTGTGCCAACACCCGTGTCTCTCTGTCTCCCCTCCTCCTCCCCGCCATCTCTCTCTCTGTCTCCCCTCCTCCTCCCCCCCACCATCTCTCTCTCTGTCTCCCCTCCTCCTCCCCACCATCTCTCTCTCTGTCTTCCCTCCTCCTCCCCACCATCTCTCTCTCTGTCTCCCCTCCTCCTCCCCACCATCTCTCTCTCTGTCTCCCCTCCTCCTCCCCACCATCTCTCTCTCTGTCTCCCCTCCTCCTCCCCACCATCTCTCTCTCTGTCTCCCCTCCTCCTCCCCACCATCTCTCTCTCTGTCTCCCCTCCTCCTCCCCACCATCTCTCTCTCTGTCTCCCCTCCTCCTCCCCACCATCTCTCTCTCTGTCTCCCCTCCTCCTCCCCACCATCTCTCTCTCTGTCTCCCCTCCTCCTCCCCACCATCTCTCTCTCTGTCTCCCCTCCTCCTCCCCGCCATCTCTCTCTCTGTCTCCCCTCCTCCTCCCCACCATCTCTCTCTCTGTCTCCCCTCCTCCTCCTCCCCACCATCTCTCTCTCTGTCTCCCCTCCTCCTCCTCCCCACCATCTCTCTCTCTGTCTCCCCTCCTCCTCCTCCCCACCATCTCTCTCTCTGTCTCCCCTCCTCCTCCCCACCATCTCTCTCTCTGTCTCCCCTCCTCCTCCCCACCATCTCTCTCTCTGTCTCCCCTCCTCCTCCCCACCATCTCTCTCTCTGTCTCCCCTCCTCCTCCCCACCATCTCTCTCTCTGTCTCCCCTCCTCCTCCCCACCATCTCTCTCTCTGTCTCCCCTCCTCCTCCCCACCATCTCTCTCTCTGTCTCCCCTCCTCCTCCCCACCATCTCTCTCTCTGTCTCCCCTCCTCCTCCCCACCATCTCTCTCTCTGTCTCCCCTCCTCCTCCCCACCATCTCTCTCTCTGTCTCCCCTCCTCCTCCCCACCATCTCTCTCTCTGTCTCCCCTCCTCCTCCCCACCATCTCTGTCTCCCCTCCTCCTCCCCACCATCTCTCTCTCTGTCTCCCCTCCTCCTCCCCACCATCTCTCTCTCTGTCTCCCCTCCTCCTCCCCACCATCTCTCTCTCTGTCTCCCCTCCTCCTCCCCACCATCTCTCTCTCTCTCTGTCTCCCCTCCTCCTCCCACCATCTCTCTCTCTGTCTCCCCTCCTCCTCCCCACCATCTCTGTCTCCCCTCCTCCTCCCCACCATCTCTCTCTCTGTCTCCCCTCCTCCTCCCCACCATCTCTCTCTCTGTCTCCCCTCCTCCTCCCCACCATCTCTCTCTCTGTCTCCCCTCCTCCTCCCCACCATCTCTGTCTTCCCTCCTCCTCCCCACCATCTCTCTCTCTGTCTCCCCTCCTCCCCACCATCTCTCTCTCTGTCTCCCCTCCTCCTCCCCGCCATCTCTCTCTCTGTCTCCCCTCCTCCTCCCCACCATCTCTCTCTCTGTCTCCCCTCCTCCTCCCCACCATCTCTCTCTCTGTCTCCCCTCCTCCTCCCCACCATCTCTGTCTCCCCTCCTCCTCCCCACCATCTCTCTGTCTCCCCTCCTCCTCCCCACCATCTCTCTCTCTGTCTCCCCTCCTCCTCCCCACCATCTCTCTCTCTGTCTCCCCTCCTCCTCCCCACCATCTCTCTCTCTGTCTCCCCTCTTCCTCCCCACCATCTCTGTCTTCCCTCCTCCTCCCCACCATCTCTCTCTCTGTCTCCCCTCCTCCTCCCCACCATCTCTCTCTCTGTCTCCCCTCCTCCTCCCCACCATCTCTCTCTCTGTCTCCCCTCCTCCTCCCCACCATCTCTCTCTCTGTCTCCCCTCCTCCTCCCCACCATCTCTCTCTCTGTCTCCCCTCCTCCTCCCCACCATCTCTCTCTCTCTCTGTCTCCCCTCCTCCTCCCCACCATCTCTGTCTCCCCTCCTCCTCCCCACCATCTCTCTCTCTGTCTCCCCTCCTCCTCCCCACCATCTCTGTCTCCCCTCCTCCTCCCCACCATCTCTCTCTCTGTCTCCCCTCCTCCTCCCCACCATCTCTGTCTCCCCTCCTCCTCCCCACCATGTCTCTCTCTGTCTCCCCCATGTCTCTCTCTCTGTCTCCCCTCCTCCTCCCCACTATCTCTCTCTGTCTCCCCTCCTCCTCCCCACCATCTCTCTCTGTCTCCCCCATGTCTCTCTCTCTGTCTCCGTCTACCCCCTCACCCCGTCTCCTACGCTCCGTCCGCAGGCCCTGCTCAAGGCCAACGCGACGTTGTTCCGCCCCACCCCACCGCCGGCCACAACAACAACAACAACAGCCGCGGCCGCCACCGCTACGGCAGCCGCCGCCGCGGCCGCCGCCGTGGCCACGGCCCCCAGGCCTCTGGCCACGGCGGCCGCCCAGGCCGCCCAGGCCGAGCCCCGACAGCCGCCGAAGACGCAGCGTCCCTTCCTTCCCGGCCGCCAGGTGGGTCTGGCGTGAGACGTTCACCTCGTCAGTCTGTCTCATCTTCATCGCCATCACGGTGGCTAGGAGATGTTGACTACCTCGCCCGGTGTGCAGGAGGTCGTGGGTTCGATCCCGACCCTGACGTCTGTTGCTGTATATTTGTGAGTCTGTGTGTCTCTCTCTCTCTCATCATCATCATCATCACGGTGGCTAGGAGATGTTAACTACCTCGCCTGGTATACAGGAGGTCGTGGGTTCGATCCCTACCCTGACGTCTGTTGCTGTATATTTGGAGTCTGTGTGTCTCTCTCTCTCATCATCATCATCATCACGGTGGCTATGAGATGTTAACTACCTCGCCCGGTGTACAGGAGGTCGTGGGTTCGATCCCTACCCTGACATCTGTTGCTGTATATTTGGAGTCTGTGTGTCTCTCTCTCTCATCATCATCATCATCACGGTGGCTATGAGATGTTAACTACCTCGCCCGGTGTGCAGGAGGTCGTGGGTTCGATCCCGACCCTGACGCCTGCTGCTGCTGTATATTTGGAGTTTGTGTCTCTCTCTCTCTCCCCGTGGTCGCGTGGATTTTTCCCCGGGTCCTCCGGTTTTCCCCTCCACATTTAGAATCGCCGTCACCACGCGTTCAGACTGTTTGCCTGGCTGCTCTAAATTAAATTTCCACGCGATGACGATGAGCCCACTTGACGGGACCTACCGTTAGCAATAGCCACGGTCGCTTCTGAATCAGAGCTACATAGCTCGAGTGGGACTTTACCTGGGTAACAGTAAAAATTTTATCGTTGTTTTTAGTTTAAACGCGGGGGGGTGGGGGAGACAAAGGCGGCCGGGAGTGGCGCTGACCGAACCACCACCCCCCTTGCTGCGCCGTGCCCGCCTTGCAATAGACGCCCGTTAACGGCACTTGCCCCAACAGTCTCCGTAGCGTCACCTGGGCCATCTTTGTCTTTTTGCGTGCGCGCGTGTGTGTCGGTGTGTGTATCAGTGTGCATGTGTATCTGTGTGTGTACCAGTGTGCGTGTGTGTGTGTCTGTGTGTGTACCAGTGTGTGTGTGTGTCAGTGTGTGTACCAGTGTGTGTATCAGTGTGCGTGTGTATCTGTGTGTGTACCAGTGTGCGTGTGTGCGAGTCTGTGTGTGTATCAGTGTGCATGTGTATCTGTGTGTGTCGGTGTGTGTCAGTGTGTGTATCAGTGTGCGTGTGTATCTGTGTGTGTACCAGTGTGCGTGTGTGTCTGTGTGTGTATCAGTGGGGAGCGGTGGTGGAGCGGTTAGCGCCACGCTGCGCTACGAACCTGGCGACCCGGGTTCGATTCCCGCTCACGGCCAACACCATCGGTGACGATTATCTGAACCGGTCACGGGCCTCCCCTAGGTCGACTCGGCCTCAAATGAGTACCTGGTGTGGTGTGTTAACATCGCCGCTAGGGAGACAAAGGCGGCCGGGCGTGGTGCTGGCCACCCACCCCCTTGTGTGCCGTGCCGGCCTTCATAGGTGCTCGCTAACAGCGCTTGCCCCTACAGTCTGTTAAGGCTACACGGGGGATCTTTGTCTTTGTTGTGTGTGTACAGCAGACGGGCATGCCTGGCATCCTGCAGCCGCCTGGCATGCATCAGCAGCAGTCCGGCATGCAGCAGCAGCAGCAGCAGCCGCAGCAGCAGCAGCCCGGCATCCTACAGCCACCTGGCTTGCAGCAACAGCAGCCTGGCATGCAACAGCCCGGCCTTCTCCCTCACTACCCACTGCAGCAGCATCTGGCACGGCAGCCCTTCCAGCCAAACCACGATGCCTACCGACAGCTTCCTGCCCACCTGGCCTTCCAGCAGCAGCAGCAATTCCCGGGCGCCTTCTCCGGCGCTTTCTTGCCGCACCTCCTGTTGCTACAGCAGCAGCAGCAGCAGCAAAAGCAGCAGCAGCAGCAACAGCAGCAACAGCAGCAGCAGCTCCCTAACTTCCTGCACCAACAGCCGCCCCACAATGCAATGCAGCAGCAGCAGCAGCCACATGGCGTGTTCGGGCAGCAGCAGCAGCAGCAGCAGCCGGCGTCCGCCGCCGCTTCCCAGCAGCCTTTGCAGCAGCGGCACCCCCAGCATGCCGCGGGGCAGGCGGAAGGCCCGGCGCAGGCCAAGTCGGTCTACGATCGGCTCATGGAGAAACTCAAGGCCATGTTCCCCGACATGGATCGGTGAGCCTGGCGGAACGGGGGGGTGGGGTCTGTCTTGTCGTCTGTCCGTACGTCCGTGTGCGTGAGTGCGTCCGTCCGTCTGCGTTCCGTTGAGCCGTCTTGTTCATCCGTCAGCACGTCCGTCCGTCCGTCCATCTGTATGCCTGTATGTCCGTGTGCGTCCGTCCGTCTGTCCGTGTGCGTCCGTCCGTCTGTCTGTCCGTCTGCGTTACGTTCATCCGTCCTGTCCGTCCGTCAGCCTGGCGGCGGATCCTGTCCGCCCGTCTGTCTGCACTTCCGTCTAACCGTCTGTGTCTGCCCATCGCCCCGTCCGTTATTCTTTTTGAGTATTCGGCTGCTATGATTTTCCAAGTCGTGACGATAGCCGTTGGGGGGTGGGGTCTCCTTCTGAAAAAGATCCGTATAGCTCAGTGTGGGGCCTTACACCCCGTGCTCTAAACCACTGGACCTTGACTGTAGCCTTTGCACCCCGTTTGGTTCTCAATCGTTCAAAAAAGAAAGAAAGCGGTACAATCTAAATACATAAACACACAGGGGTTTGGTGAAGCAAAGTAAGTTGTTACTTACGTGTGCCCCCTTACTTGATTTGTCTTTTCGATTATTTACCTTCTTAAAAAAAAAATGTGGCTGTGTTTTCGCAACACCCCTCCACAGGAGAGTGCATGTGGCACTCCCCCAAGAGGGTGCGTGGGTGCTCCCCCTGGGGGTGTGTGCCCCATTTGCCATACATCATAGGGGTCACCAAAGAGATTTCCAAAATCACGAGCAAACAAGATCCCAGGCTCAATTTAACACAGTACGTAAAATTCGTGATCTGATCCCATCTGCGAAGGATAGGATCCCTGACATGCAATACCCCGGCGTCTACAAACTGAGCTGTCAGTTTAACACGTATTATGAAACTAAGCTGTGTCTGCGGCAGTAGTTAGATTGGGGAAACTAAGCGACATGTCCCGGACCTTGCTCGTGAACACAAGGCAGATTTGAAACACGGTTGGACCAACACGATGGGCCCTGGCTGATCATTGTTTTAATGCGGTTGGCTCACGCGAAATTGATTTCTCTGAGACGAAGGTGCTTTGTAAGCCCGCTGGCTATCAACAAAGATTCGTTCATGAAGCCATCCAAATATACAGACACCGACACAGTTTCAACGGAGAGGATGGGTACAAACCTCGGCAATCAATGGAAGGACGTCATCAACCAGTTTAAGTCACAACTGGCTGTGATGTTCCCATCCTGTCACCTTCCGATGTTAGTTTTTATTTTCCCCGTGGCTTCGGCTCTCCGATTTGACATTAACAGGTTAAATTGTGTTCACACCAACATAGCCACCTCCGCGCACTCGTCATGAAGGTCCCCTCTCCGATCTCCCATTAACACGCTAATCTCCCACATTAACACGCTAATCTCTCACGTTAACACGCTAATCTCTCACGTTAACACGCTAATCTCCCACATTAACACGCTAATCTCTCACATTAACACGCTAATCTCTCACATTAACACGCTAATCTCCCACATTAACACGCTAATCTCTCACATTAACACGCTAATCTCCCACATTAACATGCTAATCTCTCACATTAACACGCTAATCTCCCACTTTAACACGCTAATCTCCCACATTAACACGCTAATCTCTCACATTAACACGCTAATATCTCACATTAAGACGCTAATCTCTCACATTAACACGCTAATCTCCCACATTAACACGCTAATCTCTCACATTAACACGCTAATCTCTCACATTAACACGCTAATCTCCCACATTAACACGCTAATCTCACATTAACACGCTAATCTCCCACATTAACACGCTAATCTCTCACATTAACGCGCTAATCTCCCACTTTAACACGCTAATCTCCCACATTAACACGCTAATCTCTCACATTAACACGCTAATATCTCACATTAACACGCTAGTCTCTCACATTAACACGCTAGTCTCTCACATTAACACGCTAATCTCTCACATCAACACGCTAATCTCTCCCATTAACACGCTAATCTCTCACATTAACACGCTAATCTCTCACTTTAACACGCTAATCTCCCACATTAACACGCTGATCTCTCACATTAACACGCTAATCTCTCACATTAACACGCTAATCTCTCACATTAACATAGCCACCTCCGTACCCTCGTCATGAAGGTCCCCTCTCCGATCTCACATTAACACGCTAATCTCCCACATTAACACGCTAATCTCTCACATTAACACGCTAATCTCTCACATTAACACGCTAATCTCCCACATTAACACGCTAATCTCTCACATTAACACGCTAATCTCTCACATTAACACGCTAATCTCTCACATTAACACGCTAATCTCTCCCATTAACACGCTAATCTCCCACATTAACACGGCCACCTCCGTACCCTCGTCATGAAGCTCCTCTCTCTGATATCACATTAACACGCTGATCTCCCACATTAACACGCTAATCTCTCACAGTAACACGCTAATCTCTCACATTAACACGCTAATCTCTCGCATTAACACACCAATCTCTCACATTAACATAACTAGCCCCGCCCACTTCGTGTATGACCCTAGGGCTACGCCCATTTTAAACCTTTAAAGCAGCCTGCGTCAGCAGCGTTCCCCCTCTTTTATTTCCTCCTGATGCCCGACCGCTTTGCGTTGTGGTTCTTGTTTGTTTCATTTCTATCCATCAGAAACCTTTCCACGAGACTTTAGCGAAAGACCCAAAGAACACTTTTTTAGTTGTTTACATTGTTGTGCTTGTCGTTGTGCTTGTTGTTGTTGTTTTACTTGTTGCTGTTGTGGTTGTTGTTGCTTCTTGTCATTGTTCTTGTTCTAGATTTAAAGCTTTCGTGACTGCTAGGATCCATACTCTTTGGTTCTATTGGGCAAAGTCACGTAGGTGAAAATAAAATAACAAAAAAATCCCGACGTTTCGGCCACAACACAAGCGGCCTTCATCAGGTGAAGGGACGAGACTGTCTGGTAGGACAGCGCTGGAGTGGTTGTCCTACCAGACAGTCTCGTACCTTCACCTGATGAAGGCCGCTTGTGTTGTGGCCGAAACGTCGTGAATTTTTTTGCTAATTTTTTTTGTTATTTTATTTTCACCTACGTGACTTTACCCAATAGAACCAAAGAGTATTGTTGTTGTTGTGTATATTGTTGTTGTTGTTGTAGCAGTTGTTGTTTTATTGTTGTTGTTGTTATTGAAGTTTGTGTTCTTGTTATTTTTGTTGTTGTTGTTCTTGTTGTTTTATTGTTGTTGTTGTTGTTATTGAAGTTTGTGTTCTTGTTATTTTTGTTGTTGTTGTTTTTGTTGTTTTATTGTTGTTGTTATTGAAGTTTGTGTTCTTGTTATTTTTATTGTTGTTCTTGTTGTGTTGTTGTTGTTATTGAAGTTTGTGTTCTTGTTATTTTTGTTGTTTTTGTTGTTTTATTGTTGTTGTTATTGAAGTTTGTGTTCTTGTTATTTTTGTTGTTGTTGTTGTTGTTTTTGTTTGGGTCGCCTGACCCCCCAATGCTTTGCCCCCCCCCAGGCCGACGCTCAACAAGTTCATGGTGCAGCTACGGGCGGCGAACGGCGGGCGCCTGCAGGGCCTGTCCTTCGAGGAGCTGGTGAACCGGATCAGCGAGATGGTGCTGGACCAGACGCGGCAGGCGCCGGCGGTGCAGGTACCGGCGGTGCAGGGTGTGGCGGTGCAGGGCGTGGTAGTGCAGGGTGTGTGGCGGTGCAGGGTGTGGTGGTGCAGGGTGTGGTGGTGCAGGGTGTGTTGGTGCAGGTCGTGTTGGTGCAGGGCGTGGCGGTGCAGGGCGTGGTAGTGCAGGGCGTGGTAGTGCAGGGGTGTGTTGGTGCAGGGCGTGGTAGTGCAGGGCGTGGTAGTGCAGGGTGTGGTAGTGCAGGGCGTGGTAGTGCAGGGTGTGTGGCGGTGCAGGACGTGGCGGTGCAGGGTGTGTGGTAGTGCAGGGCGTGGTAGTGCAGGGCGTGGTGGTGCAGGGCGTGGTAGTGCAGGGTGTGGTGGTGCAGGGCGTGGTAGTGCAGGGTGTGGTGGTGCAGGGCGTGGCGGTGCAGGGCGTGGTAGTGCAGGGTGTGTGGTAGTGCAGGGTGTGGTAGTGCAGGGCGTGGTAGTGCAGGGTGTGTGGTAGTGCAGCGTGTGGTGGTGCAAGGTGTGGTGGTGCAGGATGTGGTAGTGCAGGGTGTGCTGGTGCAGGGTGTGCTGGTGCAGGGCGTGGTAGTGCAGGGCATGGTAGTGCAGGGTGTGTGGTAGTGCTGGGTGTGTGGTAGTGCTGGGTGTGTGGTGGTGCAGGGCGTGCTGGTGCAGGGCGTGGTAGTGCAGGGTGTGTGGTAGTGCAGGGTGTGTTGGTGCAGGGTGTGTGGTGGTGCAGGGTGTGGTAGTCCAGGGCATGGTAGTGCAGGGTGTGTGGCAGTGCTGGGTGTGTGGTAGTCCAGGGCATGGTAGTGCAGGGTGTGTGGCAGTGCAGGGTGTGTGGTAGTCCAGGGCATGGTAGTGCAGGGTGTGTGGTAGTGCTGGGTGTGCTGCAGCGGCCGTGGGGGTCGGGGTGACGACCCCTCGCTCTGCCCACCCCAAGTCTGTAATTTAAAATGCAAATGTTGATAAACTTAAATTTGTTTTTTTTTAAATAATATCAAACGTACGATTAGCTTTCTTACTTTTTAAATGTTTTTATTGTTTAGATTATATCTTTACGAATGTGATTAGTCGCCGTCTTTCTTATTACTTGAGAATCACAGCATTAATTACGACAACAACAACAGCTGCAACAACAACAACAACAACCACCACAACAACAACAACAACCACCACAACAACAACAACAACAACCACCACAACAACAACAACCACCACCACCACCACCAACGGCCTCGCCCCCCCTCCCTCAGGTGGCCCGGGCAGCTCAGGGGCCCACGCTGCCTACGCCGTCGCAGGGACAGCCAATGGCAGCGGCCGCCTTGAGGGGTGGCGGCAGCGGCGGCAGCGGCGGGGCGGCTGCTGCGGCTGCTGCTGCTGCTGCATCCCTGGACTCCGTACGCCGGCAGCAGCATCACCAGCAGCAGCAGCAGCAGCAGCAGCAGCAGCATCAGCAGCAGCATCAGCAGCATCAGCAGCAGCAGCATCAGCAGCAACAGCCACCGTGGCGACAGCTTGTCAACAATAACAAACAGCCGGCGACAAGACCAACCGACCACATGCTGGTGTGTGCTTGTGTGTGTGTGTGTCTGTCTGTCTGTGTGTGTGTGTCTGTCTGTGTGTGTGTCTGTCTGTCTGTGTGTGTGTCTGTCTGTGTGTGTGTGTGTCTGTCTGTGTGTGTGTGTGTCTGTCTGTGTGTGCGCGCGTCTGTCTGTGTGTGTGTGTCTGTGTGTCTGTGTGTGTGTGTGTGTCTGTCTGTGTGTGTGTGTCTGTCTGTGTGTGTGTGCGTGTCTGTCTGTGTGTGCTTGTGTGCGCGCGTGTCTGTCTGTCTGTGTGTGTGTCTGTCTGTCTGTGTGTGTGTCTGTCTGTCTGTGTGTGTGTGTGTGTGTCTGTCTGTGTGTGTGTGCGTGTCTGTCTGTGTGTGCTTGTGTGCGCGCGTGTCTGTCTGTCTGTGTGTGTGTCTGTCTGTCTGTGTGTGTGTCTGTCTGTCTGTGTGTCTGTCTGTCTGTGTGTGTGTGTGCGCATCTGTCTGTCTGTCCGTGTGTGCTTGTGTGCGCGTGTCTGTCTGTCTGTGTGTGTGTGTGCGCATCTGTCTATCTGTCTGTCCGTGTGTGCTTGTGTGCGCGCGCGTCTGTCTGTGTGTGTGTGTGCTTGTGTGTGTGCGCGTCTGTCTGTCTGTCCGTGTGTGTGTGTGCGCGTGTCTTTATCGCATACCTTATCAGTGCCCTATCTTACTGCAGACCAATTCAGACCTTGTTGGTCACCCCGTGCCCCTCATAAATCTCAACGTTCATCCCACAAAGTCCCATCGCAAGGGAGAAACACAAACACACGGACAAATGTTTATTTTGTGCCCGTATTGAAACGGCCGTTATACGCCGTATGGACCTGAAAAGTAAATTTCCCTTGGCAAGAATACGGGGCAAGCCGTGTGAATTCACACGGCAAGTTATCACTATCCTAACGCCCTGTAGCAGCATGGCGCAAGCGCTGTGGTGACGTCACCGCCACTTGGTGGTGAACGGTGGCTGCTGTTGTCGTTGTCTGATGGGGAGCGCTGACGCAGCCGTCAGCCCGCTATGAAACCCGGCAGGGAGCCAAGTTCGATTCCCACTCGCGGCCACCGCCAACGCCGGTGACGATTATCCGAACCGGTCCTGGGCCTCCCCAAGATCGACTCGGCCTCAAATGAGTACCCAGCACGCCATTGGGGAGGATAGTTTTAGTTTTGTTTATTTTGGTATAGCCCCCGCGAGACATTCGGCTCTTGAATCGGGTGCAACCGCAACAAACAAACAAAAAACTAAAACACGAACAGGAAAAAAAACATCTTAAAGTGACTTTGTGTGTGACTGTGCAAACAGAAAATCCATGAAAAAAAAACCAGCAAAATATTCCTGAAAAAAGCACCGTACACCACCAACCGCTGTGTGCAAACAATCCCAGTGGGATGCAAGTCAAACAACAACAACAACCACAAGAAAACTTAGATTAAGGCCATCAGTCTAACTCCGTACTACAACAAAACAAAACACGTTTTGTTGTAGATGGCGGCCGGGCGTGGCGCTGGTCAACCCCACCCCCCTTGAGCGCCGTGCCGGCCTTCGTAGGTGCCACTCGCTAACAGCACTTGCCTCCCCAACTAACTCCCCTGTCATTACCTCCCGTGGCCACCAGTCCCTTCACACTCACAACTGACTCCCCTGTCATTACCTCCCGTGGCCACCAGTCCCTTCACACTCACAACTGACTCCCCTGTCATTACCTCCCGTGGCCACCAGTCCCTTCACACTCACAACTGACTCCCCTGTCATTACCTCCCGTAGCCACCAGTCCCTTCGCACTCACAACTGGCTCCCCTGTCATTACTTCCCGTGGTCACCAGTCCCTTCACACTCACAACTAACTCCCCTGTCATTACCTTCCGTGGCCACCAGTCCCTTTACACTCACAACTGATACCCCTGTCATTACCTCCCGTGGCCACCAGTCCCTTCACACTCACAACTGACTCCCCTGTCATTACCTCCCGTGGCCACCAGTCCCTTCACACTCACAACTGACTACCCTGTCATTACCTTCCGTAGCCACCAGTCCCTTCGCACTCACAACTGATACCCCTGTCATTACTTCCCGTGGCCACCAGTCCCTTCGCACTCACAACTGGCTCCCCTGTCATTACCTCCCGTGACCACCAGTCCCTTCACACTCACAACTGATACCCCTGTCATTACTTCCCGTGGTCACCAGTCCCTTCACACTCACAACTGACTCCCCTGTCATTACCTCCCGTGGCCACCGGTCCTTTCACTCACAACTGATACCCCTGTCACTACCTCCCGTAGCCACCAGTCCCTTTACACTCACAACTGATACCCCCGTCATTACCTCCCGTGGCCACCAGTCCCTTCACACTCACAACTGATACCCCTGTCATTACCTCCCGTGGCCACCAGTCCCTTCACACTCACAACTGACTCCCCTGTCATTACCTCCCATGGCCACCAGTCCCTTCACACTCACAACTGATACCCCTGTCATTACCTCCCGTGGCCACCAGTCCCTTCACACTCACAGCTGATACCCCTGTCATTACCTCCCGTGGCCACCAGTCCCTTCACACTCACAGCTGACTCCCCTGTCATTACCTCCCGTGACCACCAGTCCCTTCACACTCACAACTGATACCCCTGTCATTACTTCCCGTGGTCACCAGTCCCTTCACACTCACAACTGACTCCCCTGTCATTACCTCCCATGGCCACCAGTCCCTTCACACTCACAGCTGACTCCCCTGTCATTACCTCCCATGGCCACCAGTCCTTTCACACTCACAACTGACTCCCCTGTCATTACCTCCTGTGGCCACCAGTCCCTTCGCACTCACAACTGATACCCCTGTCATTACCTCCCATAGCCACCAGTCCCTTCGCACTCACAACTGATACCCCTGTCATTACTTCCCGTGGCCACTAGTTCATTCGCACTGCAGGCTGACTCTCCTGTCATTACCTCCCGTGGCCACTAGTCCATTCGCATTGCAGGCTGACTCCCCTGTCATTACCTCCCGTGGCCACTAGTCCATTCGTACCGTAAGCGGACTCCCCTGTCATTACCTCCCGTGGCCACTTGTGCATTCGTACTCACAACTGACTCCCCGGTCATTACCTCCCGTGGCCACTAGTCCATTCGCACTCACAACTGACTCCCCTGTCATTACCTTCCGTGGCCACTAGTCCCTTCACAGTCACAACTGACTCCCCTGTCATTGCCCCCCGTGGCCACCAGTCCCCTCACACCGCGTGCCGGCTCTGTTGTCATGACACACACACACACAGACACCACTCACCACGGCGAGTGTCTGTGTGTGTGTGTGTCATGACACACACACAGACACTCACCACGGCGAGTGTCTGTGTGTGTGTGTGTTATGACACACACACAGACACACACACACGCCACTCACCACGGCGAGTGTCTGTGTGTGTGTGTCATGACACACACACACACACACAGACACACACACACACACTACTCACCACGGCGAGTGTGTGTCGCTCGCTGTGCTAGACTGGTGAGGAGGACCCGTGTGTCATCTGCTGTGAGGAGCTCACCCAGGAAGCCCTCTGCGTGCTCGAGTGCAAACATAAGTTCCACACCGAGGTATGGCGCGCTCTCTCTCGCACGCGCACGCACGCGTGTGTGTGTGGGTCTGTGTGTGTGTCAGTGTGCATGTGTATCTGTGTGTGGGTCTGTGTGTGTACCAGCGCGCGTGTGTGTGGGTCTGTGTGTGTGTCTGTGCATGTGTGTGGGTCTGTGTGTGTATCAGTGTGCATGTGTATCTGTGTGTGGGTCTGTGTATGTATCAGTGTGCATGTGTGTGGGTCTGTGTGTGTATCAGTGTGCATGTGTGTGGGTCTGTGTGTGTATCAGTGTGCATGTGTGTGGGTCTGTGTGTGTACTAGTGTGCGTGTGTGTGGGTCTGTGTGTGTATCAGTGTGCATGTGTATCTTTGTGTGGGTCTGTGTGTGTACCAGTGTGCATGTGTGTGGGTCTGTGTGTGTACCAGTGCGCGTGTACACACATACAGACGCAAGCGCACATGCAGACACACAAAGACACACAAAGACATACACACAGACACGCACACAGGCGATAGTGTAGCGGTTAGCGCGCTGCGCTATGAACCTGGCGACCCGGGTTCGATTCCCGCTCACGGCCAACACCACCAGTGACGATTATTTGAACCGGTCCCGGGCCTCCCCTAGGTCGACTCAGACTCAAATGAGTACCTGGTGCGGTGTGTAAACATTGCCACTGGGGAGACAAAGGCGGTCGGGCGTGGTGCTGGCCACCCACCCCCCTCGTGTACCGTTCCGGCCTTCATAGGTGCTCGCTAGCAGCACTTGCCCCTACAGTCTGTTAATGCTATACGGGGGATCTTTGTCTTTGTATCAGTGTGCATGTGTATCTGTGTGTGGGTCTGTGTGTGTATCAGTGTGCATGTGTATCTGTGTGTGGGTCTGTGTGTGTATCAGTGCGCGTGTGTGTGAGTCTGTGTGTATCAGTGTGCATGTGTGTGGGTCTGTGTGTGTACTAGTGCGCGTGTGTGTGGGTCTGTGTGTGTATCAGTGTGCATGTGTATCTGTGTGTGGGTCTGTGTGTGTATCAGTGTGCATGTGTATCTGTGTGTGGGTCTGTGTGTGTATCAGTGTGCATGTGTATCTGTGTGTGGGTCTGTGTGTGTATCAGTGCACGTGTGTGTGAGTCTGTGTGTATCAGTGTGCATGTGTGTGGGTCTGTGTGTGTACTAGTGCGCGTGTGTGTGGGTCTGTGTGTGTATCAGTGTGCATGTGTATCTTTGTGTGAGTCTGTGTGTGTATCAGTGTGCATGTGTATCTGTGTGTGGGTCTGTGTGTATATCAGTGTGCGTGTGTATCTGTGTGTGTATATCAGTGTGCGTGTGTATCTGTGTGTGTGTATCAGTGTGCGTGTGTATCTGTGTGTGTATCTGTGTGTATCTGTGTGTGTGTATCTGTGTGTGTGTGTGTGTGTATCTGTGTGTGTGTATCAGTGTGCGTGTGTATCTGTGTGTGTGTATCAGTGTGTGTGTATCTGTGTGTATCTGTGTGTGTGTATCAGTGTGTGTGTATCAGTGTGCATGTGTGTCTGTGTATCAAGTGTGCATGTGTATCTGTGTGTGTGTATCTGTGTGTGTGTATCTGTGTATCTGTGTGTGTGTATCTGTGTGTGTGTATCTGTGTGTGTGTATCTGTGTGTGTGTATCAGTGTGCATGTGTATCTGTGTGTGTGTATCAGTGTGCGTGTGTATCTGTGTGTGTGTATCTGTATGTATCTGTGTGTGTGTATCTGTGCGTGTGTATCTGTGTGTGTGTATCTGTATGTATCTGTGTGTGTCTCCGCGTGCATGCGCGTGTCAGTTGCGTATCGGTGCGCGTACGTGTGCGTGTTTCTGCGTGCGCGTGTTCGCGTGCGTGCGTGCGTGCGTGCTCGCTAACAGCACTCGCCCCAACAGTCTGCTAAAGGCTACGCGGGCGGTCTTTGCCTTTGTGTGCTCTCACAGTGCATCCGTCAGTGGCTGACAGAGCAGAAGACGTGTCCCACATGCAGGAAGTTCGCTCTGCTTCCCGAAGAGTTCCCGTCACTGTCCGGGCATCCCCGCGCGCAGGGATCACTCTCAATCTCCTAGGCCGCAGAGACAGAGAGAGAAACACACACACACACACACATGCAGACACACACAGACATACAGACAGACATACAGACACACAGACATACAGACACACACACACATGCAGACACACACAGACATGCAGACACACACAGACATGCAGACAGACATACACACACACACACATGCAGACACACACAGACATGCAGACACACACAGACATACAGACACACACACACATACAGACATGCAGACACACACACAGACATACAGACACACACACAGACATATACACACGCATACAGACACACACAGACATACAGACATGCAGACACACATACAGACATGCAGACACACATATAGACACACACAGACATGCAGACACACACAGACATGCAGACAGACATACACACACACACACATGCAGACACATGCAGACATACAGACACACACAGACATACAGACACATACACATACAGACATGCAGACACACACGGACATACACACACATGCATACAGACACACACAGACATACAGACATGCAGACACACATACAGACATGCAGACACACACATACAGACACACACAGACATACAGACACACACACTCATGCAGACACACACATGCAGACACACACAGACATACAGACACACACACACATACAGACACATACAGACACACACAGACATACAGACATGCAGACACACAGACACACATACAGACACACAGACATACAGACACACGCAGACATACAGACACACACAGACATACAGACACACACAGACATACAGACACACATACAGACACATAAACACACATACAGACACACAGACACACACACACACAGACACACACACACACAGACACACACACAGACACACACACACAGACACACACACACAGACACACACACAGACACACACACACAGACACACACACAGACACACACACATACACACACATACACACACACAGACACACACACAGACACACACGCACGCAGCGAGTACTCTCAATCTCCTAGGGCAGCTGTCCCCAACCTTTTTGACAATTTTTCCACGAACGGACAGGGGGGGGGGGGCGGTCATCATTTGTTGTCTTTCCCCCTTTTCAAAGGAGCTCCCTGGCGACGTTTTATTAGGCATTGTGGCTACTAGGGGTTAGAGCTTGTGGGCTTTATAACCAACACCACCTGACTGAGACTGAGTGCACAGTGCGGGAAAGGCGCGCGGACGGAAGTGGTGAATAATAAAATAATTGGTGGGCCACGCGCGGACTCACCGCTCTCACCTCCTGCTGCTGTGCGGCCCGGTTCCTAACAAAGATAAAGATCCCCCGTGTAGCCTTAGCAGACTGTAGGAGCAAGTGCTGTTCGCAAGCACCTATGAAGGCCGGAACGGCACACGAGGGGGTGGGTGGCCAGCACCACGCCCGACCGCCTTTGTCTCCACAGTGGCAGTGTTTTTATCCACCGCACCAGGTACTCATTTGAGGCTGAGTCGACCTAGGGGAAGCCCAGGACCGGTTCAGATAATCGTCACTGGTGTTGGCCGTGAGCGGGAATCGAACCCGGGTCGCCAGGTTCGTAGCGCAGCGTAGCGCTAACCGCTACACTACCGCTCCCCACTCGGTTCCTAACACGCACACATACGCACACATACACACGCACACATACAGACACGCAGACACACGCACACATACGCGCACATACACGTACACACGCATACATAGACACAGACGCACACATACGCACACATACAGGCACGCACGCACACATACAGACACGCACGCACACATACAGACACGTACGCACGCACATACGCACGCACACAGACACGTACACACGCACATACACGCACACATACACAACAACAACCGCCATTCGCCACTAAGTGGCGGTGACGTCACCACGACGCTTGTGCCAGGCCATGTGCACCTTGAGGCCACGTGAAGTGTCGAACGCCCGCTGGCAGGTCACGGGGCAGACCCAGGTGCCATGGGTCGACTGATTAAGATGACTGGCTGATGCACCACCTGTGCCCCCTACTGTGCCAACCTGCTGTGCTTTAGCCACCCGGCGCTCCGCTCGTTGTTGTGAGCGTCGCTCCTCCGCCCTCCGTTGTTGTTGGAGGGCGACTGCCTCCAACTGTCCAGTAGCATCCTTCACGAGCCTCCTCCACAGAGGCCGATCTTGACACCGCTGGTACCAGTCATCGGCAAGTCCACTCAGCTCCACGTCCTCCTGTACCACATCACTCCATCTCTTCTCTAGCCCGTGCCGCGCCCGCTTAGCCCCCTCGATCCGGCCGAACAAAAGCTGTTTCGGCATGCGGTGGCTGGGCATGCGGGCTACATGGCCCAGCACATTGACACACACATACACACATATGCACACACACACACGCACACATACAGCGGCCGATTGAAGTCTTGTACGTAACTACGTGTATGTTGAACGTCTTTCGCACCGTACGTAGTCTAAACGTGCTAACTTACCTGCGTGTCTCCGTTGTGTCAGAACTCGTGCCCTCCCCTCGCCCCCCCCGCCCCCTCGCCCCCTCCCCCCCGCCCCCTCGCCCCCTCCCCCCTCGCAGAATAAATGTCTTAAGCATCTCCAGCGAGTTCCGTCTCTGTTCATTGCTGCTCTGGTCTCTGTGAGACCTCGTTCCGCCCCTCCCCTTCCTAGCCCCTCCTCCTAGCCCCTCCTCGCCCCTCCCCTTCCTCCTCGCCCCTCCCCTTCCTCCTCGCCCCTCCCCCTTCTCGCCCCTCCCCCTCTTCGCCCCTCCCCCTCATCGCCCCTCCTGACCCCTCCCCCTCCTCACCCCTCCCCGTGGTGGTGTCACGTGTACAACTCGAGCACGTGTTCAACAACTGCATCCTCCACGTCTCTTATTGGAGGTTTTTTTTCTTGCAAATTCAAAGCTCTGGAGAGTTTAAATCGTCCGTGCATTGGTTGGGGTTGTTATATAGGGAATAGTGATATAGGGGATAGTGATATAGGGGGTAGTGATATAGGGGATAGTGATGTAGGTGGTAGTGATGTAGGGGGAAGTTATGTAGGGGGTAGTGATATAGGGGGTAGTGATGTAGGGGATAGTGATATAGGGGGTAGTGATGTAGAGGGGTAGTGATGTAGGGGTAGTGATGTAGGGGGTAGTGATACAGGGGGTAGTGATGTAGGGGGTAGTGATGTAGGGGGTAGTGATGTAGGGGGTAGTGATGTAGGGGGTAGTGATGTAGGGGGTAGTGATGTAGTGATATAGGGGGTAGTGATGTAGGGGAAGTGATGTAGGGGATAGTGATGTAGGGGGTAGTGATACAGAGGGTAGTGATACAGAGGGTAGTGATATAGGGGGTAGTGATGTAGGGGGTAGTGATGTAGGGGGTAGTGATGTAGGGGATAGTGATGTAGGGGGTAGTGATACAGAGGGTAGTGATGTAGGGGGTAGTGATATAGGGGGTAGTGATGTAGGGGATAGTGATGTAGGGGATAGTGATGTAGGGGGTAGTGCTATAGGGGGTAGTGATATAGGGGATAGTGATATAGGGGGTAGTGATATAGGGGATAGTGATATAGGGGGTAGTGATGTAGGGTATAGTGATGTAGGGTATAGTGATATAGGGGGTAGTGATGTAGGGGGTAGTGATGTAGAGGGGTAGTGATGTAGGGGGTAGTGATATAGGGGGTAGTGATATAGGGGGTTGTGATGTAGGGGGTAGTGATATAGGGGGTAGTGATATAGGGGGTAGTGAAGTAGGGGGTAGTGATAAAAAGGGGGTAGTGATACAGGGGGTAGTGATATAGGGGGTAGTGATATAGGGGGTAGTGATGTAGGGGTAGTGATGTAGGGGGTAGTGATACAGGGGGTAGTGATGTAGGGGGTAGTGATGTAGGGGGTAGTGATGTAGGGGGTAGTGATGTAGTGATATAGGGGGTAGTGATGTAGGGGAAGTGATGTAGGGGATAGTGATGTAGGGGGTAGTGATACAGAGGGTAGTGATACAGAGGGTAGTGATGTAGGGGGTAGTGATATAGGGGGTAGTGATGTAGGGGGTAGTGATGTAGGGGGTAGTGATGTAGGGGATAGTGATGTAGGGGGTAGTGATACAGAGGGTAGTGATGTAGGGGGTAGTGATATAGGGGGTAGTGATGTAGGGGATAGTGATATAGGGGGTAGTGATGTAGGGGATAGTGATGTAGGGGATAGTGATGTAGGGGGTAGTGCTATAGGGGGTAGTGATATAGGGGATAGTGATATAGGGGGTAGTGATGTAGGGTATAGTGATATAGGGGGTAGTGATGTAGAGGGGTAGTGATGTAGGGGGTAGTGATACAGGGGGTAGTGATATAGGGGGTTGTGATGTAGGGGGTAGTGATATAGGGGGTAGTGATATAGGGGGGTAGTGAAGTAGGGGGTAGTGATATAAAGGGGGTAGTGATACAGGGGGTAGTGATATAGGGGGTAGTGATATAGGGGGTAGTGATGTAGGGGGTAGTGATATAGGGGGTTGTGATGTAGGGGGTAGTGATACAGAGGGTAGTGATGTAGGGGGTAGTGATGTAGGGGGTAGTGATATAGGGGATAGTGATGTAGGGGGTAGTGGTATAGGGGGTTGTGATGTAGGGGGTAGTGATATAGGGGATAGTGATACAGAGGGTAGTGATACAGGGGGTAGTGATATAGGGGATCGTGATATAGGGGATAGTGATGTAGGGAGTAGTGATACAGAGGGTAGTGATACAGGGGGTAGTGATACAGAGGGTAGTGATACAGAGGGTAGTGATACAGAGGGTAGTGATACAGGGGGTAGTGATACAGAGGGTAGTGATACAGGGGGTAGTGATACAGAGGGTAGTGATATAGGGGATGGTGATATAGGGGATGGTGATATAGGGGGTAGTGATATAGGGGGTTGTGATATAGGGGGTAGTGATATAGGGGGTAGTGAAGTAGGGGGTAGTGATATATAGGGGGTAGTGATACAGGGGGTAGTGATATAGGGGGTAGTGATGTAGGGGGTAGTGATGTAGGGGGTAGTGATATAGGGGGTTGTGATGTAGGGGGTAGTGATACAGAGGGTAGTGATGTAGGGGGTAGTGATGTAGGGGATAGTGATGTAGGGGATAGTGATGTAGGG